TGCAAGATGTTTTCAAAATCACAGTCACTAAATTTATTCTGTTGACCCATTTTCGTTATTTAAATTCTGTTGTACAGGCCAAAATTGTGTAACATTATAAATCTTTAAATCAGTTTGAAACTTGGAAACGGTTGCAACTCAGTGCCATGCGGGTTTTAAAAAATATTGAGAAAGTATTAAAAAGTGTTAAATTTAACCTCTGGGTTTCTGTATATACCCTGGGTATAGTTGTTGGCAAAAGATGTAGAATGAATGCAGAGCCGTGGGGGTGCAAGGCAGGTGTTCCGTCTGTGAGTTGTTGCCAATAAACCCAGTGAATACCGAAAACCAGCCTAGCATGGAATAATTTCCGTCGGAGAATATCACACAAATGGTGATGAGGATTAAAGTCTGATTAAATGGCCGCAGTGATTAGAACAGTGAGTCTTTTTACCTGTGAGTCCCAGTCGTGGGAAGAATATAGTGAAATGTTGGAGTGTTTCTTCTAGGCAAATGGTATAACGGATCAAGATAGGAAGAAACCATTGCTGCTAAGTGGAGTTGGGGCGTCTACTGATAGTTGTTGCAGAGTCTGCTGAGTACAGCTAACTCAGATTCTTAAGGCTCATTTCAATCCGAAAACGAGTGAAATTGTCTAGCGATTTAAATTTCATTTGCGCGTATGGAGGAACAATGAATTTGTGGCCGACGACGTGGCAGAGTTAAAGATGCTGTTTCAGCACTGTGAGTAAGGGGATGTACTGCCGCAAATGCTGAGGGACAGATTGGTGTGTGGGGTGAATGATGCCAGGATGCAACGGCGGCAATTGTCTGAGGTGGAACTGATGAGTTGAGTGAGGACTCCATGCACTCCATTTCAGAGTTGAAGTCCTGCTCACTGAAATTAATAACCTATACAGGAGAGGGATTAATAGTGCTAGGAATGGCACAGGTGGAGGTGCAGAACCAAGGTACAGTAAAAACATTGCCTTTAGTGGTAGTGGAAGGTTCTGGACCATACCTACGAGGGCGCAGCTGGTTGAAGGAGCTCGCAATGGTGGATCAGCTGGTCTGCAAGGTGGAGTCAGGATCCATACTAAAGCTAGAGGAGGTGCTGGAAAAACACTCTGCAGTATTTAAAGAACGGTTAGGAAAACTTAAGGGTACAACAGCCAAGATCTATGTGGACAGGGAGGCACAGTCGCGATTCTTTAAGCCAAGACCAATTCCATATGCGGTAAAGTCTTTGGTGGAGAGAGAGAGATACAGAGGCTTTTGGACGACCAGTTTATAGAACCGGTTCAATTTGCAGAGTGGGCAGCACCCATAGTTCCTGTCTGAAATCCAGATGGATCCATCCGAATCTGTGGGGATTATAAGCTCGCAGTAAACCATGTATCTAAAGTGGAACAGTATCCTATCCCTAAGGTTGAAGACCTGTTTGCACAGTTATCAGGGGGGCAGTTTTTCACAAAATTAGACACGAGTCATGCCTACCAGCAGGTGGTACTGGATGAAGGGTCCAGGAAATATGTCACCATTCATACACATAAAGGTCTGTATACATACACACGGCTGCCATTTGGAGATGCATCGAGTCCTGCCATTTTTCAGAGGACAATGGAGAGCATCCTATGAGGTATTCCGCATGTTGCAGTCTACCTGGACAACATATTAGTTTCAGGATCTAGTGAACAGGATCATCTAAGAAACCTAGAGGAGGTCCTCAGAAGGTTGGATGAGAGTGGACAAAGGCTGAAGAAAAGCAAATGTGAGCTGCTGGCAAAAGAGGTGGTGTTTTTGGGACACTAAATAAATGCCACAGGGCTACAATCCACTGGAAGAAAAAGTGCAGTAGAAAAAAAACTATTCACAGCTGGAAAAAGAGGGCTTCGCAGTAGTTTTTGGTGTAAAAAAATTTCACAAATATTTGTACGGTAGACAATTCACAACCACGACAGATCACAAGACATTAATTTCTCTATTTTTTTCGAACCAACCAGTTAGAAAAAAAATTACCTAGGACTCGATCTGAATCTCAGAAGTCAAAACGTGAACGCCGACCTAAGAACTTGTACGCGCGGGGAAATGAGTCACGCGGCACGTTTATCAGCAAAAACAAAGGGTAACACTTCAGTCTCAGCCTCGTATTCGCAGTGATAGCATCGTGCATGTTTACACTAGCTGAATACATATATTTAGACAGTAAAAATACATTTAGACAATGATAGACAGTAACAGTAATTATAATGATATTGTCGTGCCAAGCGGGGACAGAACGGAGACTGTTGTTTTATCCGGTTCATTTTGTGCTTAAATGCTAAAAAAACATATTTAGGTGTAATTTTTTTGGGGCCGGGAACCAATTAATTGGTCTTGCATTATTTCTTATGGGGAAAATTCGATCAGAACTCGAACTTTTTAGGATTCGATCAGGAGTTCTGAATGGATTAAGTTTGAGTTCTGAGGTACCACTGTATAACTAATCATCTAACCATGAATATGCATTATGTATGGTATTACCCTAACCTGGATAAATTAAAAGGGCAGCATCCTGGATTCTCTTCATAACCCAGCACTATGTGTATATCTGTCATGGTGTTATAGTACCCGAGTCCAGTCTTGGTTCTAAGACCTATTTTTCACTTTACTTGATCTTGTCTTAGAATTGACAAGAAAAAGCATTTGTCTTGAATCAGTCTCAGACTACATGTAAGACTTATTTTTTCACCAATTATAAACTTTCTAATTTCTCCTACTCTTGAAATAATGATATATGTTAAAAAACACAGTTAATAAAATAAAAATTAAATTAATCTGTGTTTCACCTTCATTGTTTTGCCTGCATAATGTTATTTATTTTTGAAAAGATGGTCATAAAATGCAATGCAACCTTGGAAATCACACCAGAATAAACAACTGCTTCACTTGTGTATGAAAAAGAAAGAAAACAACTTGGTGCGAATGTTGCTTGCTGCTGTATTCTAGGAGATAAATC